TCGCTTCTGCCTGGCTTGAATGTCCCCCTTGTTTGACCCCCGCGGAGACCCCTCTCTGCGCTCGGTGCCCGAAACCCGGACGCAGGGTTGGCTTAGTCTGGGTGTCTCCGCCTTCGCCGCTCCTCCCGGTCCCCTCGGAGGACTGGCGCGCGGGCAGGCACCCCAGCGCCCGCCCCAGGAGGCGACAAGGCCATCTGTGCCGCAGGCCCGCTGACCTCAAGCGCCCGACGGCTCCGCCGGAGGCCCCAGTCGGACGCTCAGTCGGCTCAGGCCCCCGAGGGACACTCGCCTGGGGCTCCGCCCTCTGAAGGCGGCTTCTCCTGAGGGGACGACTGGGTCGCTGACTGCTGTGCAGGGATGTCTCACTGCCCCCTCCCCAACAAGTCTCCAGGCCAAGGATGTCACCCAACCTCCAGCTGCCTGGGGCGAGGGCCTCCGCCCCGGGACAGAGCCCTGCGCTTGCCTTTCTTTCCCCTTTGGGGGCCCCTCGAGGCTTTCAGGCCCCCAAATGACTCATAGGAGCAATGATACCTGCGGGCGAGGGTGTGTTCAGCCCCGAAGGGCTGATGGGAGCGACACCTGGAACCTGGGCGCCTCAGATCCCACGCCCGACCGGAGGAAACTGGTTCCGGGCTTCACTGAACCGTTACACGGAAACGCGAGCTAAAGGGCTTCTGCAGAGCTTTGGGGTCTCGGGCACCACATTCCTAAAAGCCCCTTTCCCGGAGACCCTCTCACCTACACTGCTGCAGTTGTTAAGTGCTGTCTGGTCCGTTCCGACTCAGACCGACTCCATGCGACAGAGTAGAACTGCCCTGTGAGGTTTCCTAGGCTGCAATCTTTCCGGAGGCGCCCTGGTGGCGCAGTGGTTAAGCGCTCGGCTGCCAACTGAAAGGTCCACTGTTCTGTTGGAACCCACCAGCCGCGGAAGAAAGATGAGGCCGTCTGCTCCGGTGGAGAGTAGCAGCCTTGGAAACCGTATGGGGCAGTTCTACTCTGTCGGATGGGGTCGCCATGAGTCGGAATCCACTCGACTTTAGTGTTTTGTTGGTTCGAGATCTTTCCGAGAGCAGATCTCCACTGGGGTCCGTTTATTCCGGCTCACATTCAAACCAGGATTTATACTGCGCTCCTTTGGCGGGTGGCGGTCGGCTGTGTGTTGGGGGAAGTCAGCATCACAAAAGAAATGAAAGACAGGGCCCCCGGCTTTGAGGAATCTGACGTCTAGCCTGGGAGAGGAGACAAAGGAATAAACAAGAGAAAGCACACGTCTTGGGATCCTGGACCTTTAAAAGGATATTAAAAAGGCCATGTGAATGTGTTAGGGTCATTAACAATTAAATCTTGCCATGGGTATATTAGGTGGACCAAAAAAACCCAAACTCACTGCCATTGAGTGAATCCGACCCCCTTTGGGTTTTGGAGGCAGTAAATATCTACGCAAGTAGATTGCCCAGTCTTCCTTCTGCAGAGTGGCTGGTGGGTTTGAACCACCAACCTTCTGGTTTGCAGTCAAATGCCTAGAGGAGGGCTTATTACACTCTTGACTCTACCTTAAATAAAACATTAAACAGCAAGCATGGGAGTTTGTAGTAGAAAAGAAATTGAGTTACTGATTCAAGGTAGAAATTATTTTTAATTTTAAGAAAAAGCTAAATGGATGAGAATCAACAACCACTTTACAGTATTTAGGTTGTCAGTGGATTGTGCCTTGACTGCTAACTGGAAGGTTGGCAGTTTGAACCCACACAGGAGCACTGCGGAAAGAAGTCCTGGTATCTGTTTCCATAAGGATGACAGCCAATACCGTCCCACAGAGCAGTGCTGCTCTGGATCGCGCAGGGTCGCCATGAGAGTTTTCAGAATTCTTTCACATCATTTGATTCTCACAACCCTGTGGTGTGAGCAGGACCGATATTTTGGTGTCCATTTTACAGAAGAGAAAACTGAGGCTCAAAGTGATAGAGCTATTAAATGGGGGGCAGGGGCTCACGCTTAGCTGCAATTTTTATTGTAGAGTAACAATGTTGAAAAAGAACCCAAATGCATCTTAGCCTGCAGTCAGTCTTTAATGCCTCCCTGAGGCTGAATCCTGCACCTCAGAGGCTGTGAGGAGGCAGCTTCACTCCCTGAAGACATGAAGTCAGTCTGTAGCCACTGGCCGTTGGGTGCTGGTGTCCCGGAGGACCCAACACACCTCCAGGAGGTTCCCAACACAACCTGGGCAGAGTTGGCCTCCAGCCCCTTGCCAGGCCATTCTAGGCCTGTGAAAGAAAGACATTGCCCCCATGAATGGCTTGGTAACACCTGACAAAGTTCACCATACCAGTTACATAGACCAGTTGGCCTGGGATCCTGGGGCCTTGTGACCACAGAGCAGCCGCAGGGATCATTAATTGGTATTTGTTGCTTTCCTTCTGGCTGAGCATAAGTTTTAGGTAAACTTGCCCAATATTAAATTGATCTCAGTAATCACCACTAAACCAAGATTGGCAGCATTTTCTTAAGCTGCTGTCTACATGCTGCTAAGGGGCTTATGGCCCTTGTTTTCCAAAGTTAATTCCCTCTGGAACTGCCCAGCTCTCCCTAATAGGTCCAGGTGAGGTGAGCTCTTATTTACTGTTTATTTCAGAGTCTCGGGAGAAAAGCAGAAAAGACTTCAGCAGCCACTGGTGAGGACCTACAGGGGAAACTGGACCAAGCGGGACAGGGGAGGTCGGGGCGCCTTTGTGCAAGGCATAAAGAGCTAGTCAGTCGCATTGTGGGCACGGTGGAGGGCCCTCCAAGCAATCAGCCGGGGGTCATTGTGATGGGCTAATCTACATGTGTATTTCCCAAGAACTCGATTAGGGGAGATGAATGGACTCAGCCATGTCCCTAATTCTTCCAGCATGGAGCCGCAGTTCTCCAGCTGTTACGCCAGCCCCGTAATCAGCCCTGCTTCAGCGAAAGCAAGGAGCCTGGCTTCTGAACTCCGCCTCTGTTTAATTCATTAATTCATTAGATGGATCAAAGAAAACGCCCTCCTCCCAGCCCCCCCCCCCCATGCTGGCTGACCCTACACACCACTATAGCCCTTTTAAACTTGGCATGGTTTGGAGAAATGTTTCCAGAAGTGAGGAGCATGAGGGTGATGGAGGCGTGGGAGGCATCTTAAGAGTGGGAGGACCCATGCAAAGTGGGAAGGACAGTGTGGAACTACAGTTGAAGACAGGAGAGAGATTTTGAGAAGAAAGGAGACAGGGACTGGCTAGATGAAGAAAATGACACACCCAAAGGTAACTAGCGATTATCTGAAGCTGCAGTATAAGGAGGAGGCTCTTTTATCTTGGACGGATGTATGCACGAGGTCTAATTTCTGGACGTGTTCTGGGTGGACTGTTGCACCCACACCACTTTTAAGAGCAACAGCTGCAGAGTGACTTTGCTTTGTGTTGGGTGGGGAGGGAAGATGTTCACAGTTGAGTTAATGTCATTTGGCCCAATGTCTAGTTGTTTCACCTCCAGTGATGTTTGGCTTTAAGGGCCTGTAGGATATCACTTTGTAGACTGTATAAAACCACGTAGATCACTCGCTTAGAAGATAGGCTTCAATCCTGGAATAGTTTCACCTGTCTCATACCACATTTGAAGACCACCTCCTCCCACTAGCTGTTATATAGCTCAGGGACAGTAACTTAACTTTAATGTCAATCAAAGCAGAACACAACTCATATAATCGTTAACTACCCCTCATACATGTTCAACA